TTATGCCTAGTTATCAATATATTTTTGTATATTTTTAGAAGTTGGGAATAAAATAATTGAATAACATTGCATTTTAGAATAGATGCAAGAACACAACGCAATTGATTCAGTTCGACCATAAATTAGGTTACGTACCCTTCATTTTATGCATGATTGAATGTTTACCTACTTGAAGTATTGGTTATTTTATAGTAACACACTTAAACATTAAAGCTATAAAATACCTATAATACAAATATGTAATAATCAATTAAGCAGTAATGATGTAAAGCAAAAAATAAAACACAATGTGACAAAAATATTTAATCAAAATTTAAATGAGTGGTATTGAAAGTTGCAAAGGAACGTTTGGACAAGAGACCTTTTGCCAATGTCAATATCACATTGATATTGAAAACAGTGTGACCATTTGTGGCAGATTTCTGCCATTTAGGCAGATTTAATTTTTATTCATTTTCATTGCTGCAGAACATGATAAGTTATAATAAATGTGGCAGTTTGGCAGATTTGGGAATATTCGGGAAGTTCTTTATTATTTCTGGGAACAAATTGAAAATTTGCTGTTTTCTGTTACTACGCACAAACATCTGAAGCGAAATACAGGACCATGTTATAAACAAAACCTATATCAACTTTATAACCCCAGCTTCTGCAGGCTGTACTCAATTAGCTTTTTTGATGTTTTGATAATGAATCACAAGTATTGATAGGTCTCCTCAATACACGTTACCAAAAACATTGGGTCACAAAATACGCGGGTTGTCGCCATCCTTCTCTGTTGGTGTATATGGTGTTATTAAAGAATATTTGAGAGCAGTAAATTTAAATTTATGCACATGTATGTTTGCCCCTTTAGGTACAAAATTTCCTACATTTACCTCTATTTACTTAAACAACACCCTGGTAAAAATGTAACCCATAGTATATTATGTAATATATTACTATGCAACGCAATCGTAGCTATCGCTTGCCTTACGACAAAAAACTAATCTGTAAAATCGACATTCTCCTACGTGACCCTCTAGCTCAATGAGGCCAAGGGCACTTTCACCACGGGGTCTGGGTTCAACTCCCTTGAAGTACCACGAAGTCTCAAGGCCGTGACAGTGAACTTATTTGATCGCTTACTTTCTATTTAAACTCTGTGCAGTACATGTAAAAATGGGAGAAAAAACAATTATCTTCAATGTAATTTTATAACGTCGACATATTTTATAAAAAATGTTTAGTTCTTCTTGTATCCCTTTGAGACGTAATTGGTTATACAAAATTTAAAAAAAACAGTACCGCGGTTTAGATATTAAAAAAGGATAGGGTGTAATCGAAATTAAAATCACAATAAAAATTACTATACTTTATGTAAATATTTACATAAAAAATACAATAAAAAATTCGCATTAGTAATAATTTTTACATTGGGTACCTACTCAGTTTGGGGGTTTTCCATGGTTGTGTAGTTTACCACTGACAACGTCAACTGTTTGTGAGTGGTAGCGGACTGGTAGGTCATGTCCCCTCGCTTTGTCCGTTCCCTTCGGTCGTCTTCTTTGTCTGCATTTTCTAATACAATTCATATAATTATTGTATGAAACATTATTTAATCTAAAATAATAGTCAACAAGTTTTGCAAAGTTCTTCAGGTTAAGTAAGTTAAAAGTAAAAAAGGTTTTTTAGAGGAGGTCGATGTAGAGCACTCTGTGATCCGTACATCGTTTGATTATACTCAAGTTTTGCATATACTGTGCAAGTGCATCGTACACACGGCGTAATGGTAGGATTACACAATTTAACTGGTTCCGCCTCTGGCACACTTACGCAACTTACATAAGACCTGGCCATGCTTTATTTATAGCTTATAATCTGAGGATTATTAACCATAGCCACTTTTATTAGAAGTATAATGTATGTGTGTTGTGATTTAAAAGGATGAATTGATAAAGAGAAAAAAACTTTAATATTTAAAAAAATATAAAATAACTTTTAGTTTAAAATATATTAAACAAACGTGTATACCTGCTTTATAAAGTCGTATCCTCGGTATAATCGTAATATCGACACTGGAAAGATAAAACGTCTAACGTGCATTCGGAAAATATGCCATTTCAAACAATAAATATTACAGTAAGTACAGTAAGTAAATATTACATTTTAGTAGCAGGAAAGCTCCTTGTAAAAGAGTTCGTCGTACAGGTAGTACTGCCACCTTACCTATTTCTGCCGCCAAGCAGTAATGTCAGCATTACTGTGTTCCAGTTTTGAAGGGTAAAGGGTGCTGCTCAAATTACAGGCCCATGGGACTTGTCAACTTATGTCTCAGGGCGACTGGCGCAGTGGCAGTGCCCCTGAGATCTTTGCGATTTATAGCTCTGAGTGACACTGCAACTGTTATGGACAGGCGTGCAGCTTACTATCAGGCGCACGATTTGTTCGTCCCGTCACTTGATATTAAAAAAAGTAACTTTAAAAAAAATTATATATTTGTTAAGTATATTAAAAGCTGAAATATTCTAGTTTTCCATATAATAAATAAAATTAGAGTTTTGAATAATTAAATAATTAATAAAAAATTATTATTAAAAAATAATTAATAAAAAATTTCATCGCTCTTCTATGACATTTTCCAAATCTTTTTTCGTTTTACTTTTTCAGCATAGTTGTAGTTGCCAGAGTAACCTATTGGTGTTTTTTTTTCGTTAAATTTCATTTATCTTGCATTATGGTTTAATTGTATTGAATCAAAGTTTTTTAATTTCATAACTGTTGCCCTCGTTGTATTTAAGCCCGCCTGAGATCTTAGGGACAAGGAAGTGGCTCAAAAACAGCGCTGTCCGCGACAACAACGGTTCCAGGCAGTACAAGCTGAGACATCTCCTTTTGCCGGTGACATGTTTGGCGTATCGTTAATGGAGTTTTTTTTTGCTTTAATGTGTTATTTAAAAAAAAAAGTGTTTATTCAAATATGTTATTTGTGTCCAAAAATAATAATAATAACGCAACACACATAGCCCCGCACTAGGGAAACCTTGTGTCGCGGGTGCCATGGACACACATAGACAATCACAAATTACACCCAAACTCACGACAGAAATAAATGTAGGCCATACACATATTTCTCCCGGCTTGGGAATCGAACCCAGGACCTTTGCGTGGCAGTCCGGCATGGTAACCGTTCCGCCACAGAGGCAGTTAAAAAAGTGTCAGTGTGTTAAAAAAATTAGTAAGCAGGTTTATACGGTCCTGTCATATCTTTTTCGCTTCCTTCCCTGGCAAAGTCCCACCATACATTACAGGTTTAATGTTGGACTTTTGGCAGCCTTTTTTGTGAACGTCATGAGTATGGATATGCTCGCCGAAGTCGACCATATTAACCATAATTCCTTCTATACTTTTTGCTGCGAATATACTATCATCCATTTGTTTGAGGCGTTAAAGCGTCTTCTAGAAATAAACTTACTCCTAGTGGTGAAAGAAGTTGTGTAGGATTAAGAAAACAAAGTGAAGTCAATAAGTCGTGCGCTTGGTGATAAACGACACGTCTACCTATAACATTTTTAAATTGCATAAACCTAAGGAGTGCTTCTACGCTCCCTTATTCTACAAAATTGAAACACAGTAATGTCCACATTACTGAAATATGGTGGCAGTACTTCCCTGGACAAACTCTTTCAGCAAGGAGCTCTACTGCCACCAAAATTGAAGAAAGCAAAGTTGTAATGTTACAGTATCGAAAGTTTTTTCCGTACTGCATCAGGTTACGGGAACCCGCTGGATGCAAGCGGCTCAGGACAGGTCGTCGTGGCATTCTTTAAGGGAAACCTTTGTTCAGTAGTAGACGTCCTTCGGCTGATATGATGATTACTGCACCTGTGACATCATGAATTTGTCATATTTTTTCAACGTCATGTTTTATAAGCCAGACTTTATAGTACCTACTTCAATAAAGCTTTATCATTTTGTTTCCCTCAAGACTCTTCTGTATTTTCGCTCTTTAAAAAGGTTTTATTACAAATGTTCAAAAGAGAATCTTTTTGATCTTACACCATGACTCTAAAACAAAAGCAGTAAGAAATATGAGCTGTCAATCTACAGCAAGCAAAGTGTAAAAAAAATCAAAATGTAGGTTTTCATACTGAAATTTATAAATATTTTAATTCCATAATGCATATCAAAACCTTTAGAAAATGAATTCGAGATAAGACGGATAAGGTTACATTTTCCCAAAACCCCAAGTTCACCAAGAGTAATAATACCAATCATACTTTACAACGATATGGGTAAAAGACGACGTAGACTATTTCCTAAGAAAAAACGGTCAGTGTTTAGTCGACCACATCCAATGAGACGCAAAATGACTCTTAGGCATAGAAGAATGAAAGCATTTCTCCATAAGCATAGTCCCAAAGTTTATTTAGAAAAATCAATGAGAAAAATGGTTGGGGGCATCTACAGTGTTTCGGACAAAGTAAAGGACAAGATAGCAGAGAGCACGCTGGCCTTGGACAATCCTTTCAGTGCACAATTTTATGGTGATCGTTGCTGCATACAATAAGTAACGCTCTAAACAAATATATTGTGATGTCTCGAAATAATTTTATACGAAGTTCATTTTAGACACAATATGATATAACGATTTATACATATCTGGGTAATTTACAGGTTTATTTTTTATACTTAATTTCGGTGGCAGGTTTTATTATTTAAGTATTCGAGTATATTATTGTAAATTGTTAAATAATATTTCAGGTTACTAATAATAATATTTTATATTTTACTATATTTGAATAACAGAAATTGCAACCAAAATTAGGTAAACAAAATTAACATGAAAATTACCCATCTACAATCCTCTTTAGTTTTTGCGACGGTGTGATTCTCTTAACATCTGTATTGTGTTAATTTTTAGTTAAAGTTAACATTAAAACAAAAGTGTAAAACAATTTTCTTTATTTCTTTGTACATTCTTTGGTCTTAATTACTAATAAATGAATATAATACAGGATATTTAAAAATAAAAGGCTAACAAAGACGAATTTACCACTACCAAATTGAAGACGTCGTAAACAAAGGCCATGTCAAGGACCTTAACCGACGAATGTGTATGGAAAATATTGATGCGTGTTGATGAGGAGAAAAATGTTTTAGGATCGTTGCAAATCGAAGGCTGTGGTCTCCGTCGACCCCAATCAGAAAAGGGTGTAAAGTGTATGTACATAACATAAAGATTTCACTGTTTTTACAACTATTTACACTTGATAGATGCGTATATAATCAAACATGACTATTCCTAGTAGGACTTATCATTACGTGATATTCTATTTGTCTAATATACTAAGAAGAATCAAGAACATGGGCCTTTTCAAGGGGAGTCTGGATAGACCATAGATTTAGTATAGTACCTTTACATTAAATCTATGGGATAGACACATTGGTTGATATTAAGGTTTCTTGCCTATAATCAATAAAAACCACAACTGATCTGTGTCTTTATTCTTTCCTTTCACTTTTAGGCTTTTAAGGTTTTACATTTCCAACAAACCCATTTCTCTTAGAACTTGGCATGTTCATAGGTACAATAGGAATAACATCTCCTCTCCTATATTCATCATATATTTCTCTTCTATAAGGATCTTCATGAATATAATCACCCCTTCTATAATGGTCATCATAATATACATGATCTTCACTCTTTGTTGGTACTTGTATAATTTCAACTTGGGTTTTCGCTTCATCTTTTCGGTTCTGATAACCGTTGTTGTTGAACATCCCTTTCAGGCTTAGAACGGATGCCATTACCGTGGAGAAGAATCCCATCATCAAACCTGGTAGCATTTGAAATTTTGAATTAATCATTGTTCTTAATTCACGAACTATTAAAATACACGTTTCAAAACTTTATTTGTCATAAGTTTATTACATCATGCTCTTATATCATATGCTTCATATGTTATATCTTTAGCTAATCTTTTTCTTATCCAGTAGTTAGTATGTGCTTTTGGTTGTTTAAGTATGGAGAGTACTTGTGAAATGTGAATAATAAATACCATTTAAATTACCTTTAGCCGACAAAAACGCTAATGCTTTCAAAGCAATAGGGATCAATAAACTTTTAGCTGCCAACAAGCCAAGGATCACTGGCATCATCATTTTCTTATGTGGCATATGGAACCCTTTGATCCCTTGACCTTTTCTTCTTTTCCTTTTTTTACTCATTCCCATACCTGGAAATTAAAGCAAAACTATAGAAAAATTTTGATATATTGTTCCTCGTAGTTTTAAAATTTTATCCAAAAGGTTCCTTGTATTTAATATTCAGTTGTTACGATAATTAATGTTTAACCTGATACTATTAGTTAACAAATATGTAACATCGATTTTTTGCTTCAAAATAAAAGTGCCTGGGAATTTTGGTTTTTAGGAAGTTAGGGAGACGCAGTTGAACAGCTTATCCCACAAACGGTATTTGTTTAAGGCTGATAAAAATTTACTTGCCGTTGAAATAATAGAATAAATTATTGATATTTCCATAAAAAAAGATATACCTTCATTGCTACCGCCTTGCTCGCCATGCTTCATGATCTTCAGAATGCATTTGTTAATGCCTTTACCTTTACCGTGTCTTGTTGTCTTTCTTCTTGATTTAGCAGGCTTTTTCACTTTTTTAGACACTTCTGAAATTTTTGCAGCTGTCTTATGTATTGGTTTTGCTTTTAATGCTTTTGACACTGACTCTAACTGTGTTTCTGGTTCACCTTTAGTAAATAAATATTAGGAATAGATAATTAAAATTGACTTAGCCCAAATCTCTGAAGTGGTCAGAGGTATTTAAATTCCGAATATCACAAATATTATGCTCATTATCTACTCTGTTACCAAAAGACCTGAATATGATAGTAAGATCTGTTTTTAACCGTCTAACTTGACAATAACCACACATTCAGCACGGAATGTTATACTCTATTCCTGGTGTTTTACAAAGATATTTTTATATTACAAAAGGTATTATAATTACTTAAATTCCAATAACTGGACAACAAGTGGGCAACCATTCAAATCTTACCTTGCAAAGAACGTCCATGAAAATCTTCACTAGCAAAAATCCACTCCAGAGGTTTTGTAGAATTTATATTATCATTTGCATAATGACTATTATTTAACGGACCAAATCCAAACACTGCTTCAGTCTTAACGATTCCATAGTTATTCGTATTATCTAGTATCAATCCACGAGAGTAAGGTAACATTTTGGTCCTATTATGGACATACACTCTTTTTTTCACCACAGTTTCAGGTCAATCAATTATCTTCCTAAATATTTAACTTTTTTCAATACGGATAAAAAATTCTATTCCAGAATTTTTGTATACATTTTAACTTTAGTATGTTCTGTATGTTACGACAGCACTAAGCTAATGTCATATTTTTGAGGTCGCCAAGACTTATATACCATACAAATGAGTCCATTATGCCCTATCAAGCATCACTTCTTAATTACTATTTTGACAGCTTTCCAAGTCAATTAGGCACTAACTGACGGTTGTAGAAAGCTAATGTGAGCACGCATAGTACCAATTCGTAGCAATAAATATGAACTCTAGAAAAATTTAGTTGCGAAAAAATTTCAAAAAGTGGAATCAAACTTAAAATTTAAATCACTACTTACAAACTTAACATAAATTTGTAAAACAGTTGTCCAAGTTTGTATTGGAAGGTGAAAAATATACTAAAAAGCTCCAAAAGCTGTAGAACTGGTGATGTTTACGAACTACGTTTATTGTCTCAGATTAACCACTTTCTTAAATCACTGAATCTACAGATTTGTCCCCGGAGAGATAGAAAATCCAAAAAATGAAGATCGCTTTAAAGCTAAACTAAAAACTAAAAATTGTATTTGTAATGCATTTCGTGTGTTTCGAGACTTTTACAGTTTCTTTCTCAAACTATGACAAATTAAACCACAATATTTTTTGTTATTTAATGGAGCACAAATATCGCCATTTGTTATTGAAAAAAAAAAAAAATTTCTTCCGGTATTCCAGCTCGTAGATGGAGTCACGTTTGTTCATAATTTCACTTGCTGTTAAGTAAAGAAATGAGTAAGTATGGCACATCTCTGCCTAAAATGATGTTCTGCGTCTATAAATAATAAAAATTGCCACGGAAACTAGGTAATGAACACTGGTCTGAGAATAGCCGTGATTAGAATTTATACGCTTTTCTAGGAATCCCGCTCTTTAGTACCAGTAGATGTACTTTTTTAGAATGTATGATCGACTAATGTATTAAGGATGTTAAGGCTCTAAATGCTTGTAGAAGCGATGCAGTGGTCCGTCTATGGCGCGGCAGAGACGCCTCTATAATTTTTTATTCAATATCTAGCATGCAAAAGTGACGTTGCAGCTACGCTTCTAAATATTGTATGAAAATTAGCCACTATAGCGCTTCTAAGCATCTAATTTGTAGGCGCCCCTAAGCAACGATGTGGATAACGATATTACGTGTTTGTCTAGTAAATGCCTTTTTTTACGATGGTAATGCTACCCGTGAGCCCGGGGAGGCTCAAGGATTATATGGGACTATCCCCCAGGTGGGGAGCATACTTTCTAAACCCCCCCCCCCCGGCTTATCCTCTTGGTCAGGTGTTATGTGTGCCGTGGGAGATTCACCACAACGGCGCCTTCAGCTGTCCCAGTTTCTACCAGAGTTCCTGCGCCACAGAATGGAGAGACAGTTCGCTTGACTCATTCTTCAGACAGTTGAAGCAATGCGAGCAAGGGATCTCTATAGTCTGTCCGCTGGTCCTAGCGTTCAATAGCTCCCAAATAGAGATTTCGGGAAACGCTGATACCGGCAGTACATTACTGCCTTTCGGGTTTGGAAGGCACCAAGAGTGCTGGTGAAATTACAGTCTCATGGGACTTGTCAACTTGTCTCGGAGCGACGGGTGCAGTGGCAGTGCCCCAAAGGTCTTTACAGCTTAAAGTTCTGAGTTACCACTCAGAGTACCTTGCAACTGTTATGGATAGGCGTGGCGCTTGCCACTGGGCGCGAATTTTGTTCGTCCCGTTATTTGGTATTACAAAAAAGGGTATTCAACTTCTTTACAGTACGCATCAGGAAAGATGAAGCGTAACTTATCGTCTTTAGTTTTAATTGCAATAAAAAAACTTTAAAAAATATAAGAAACACACAAGTGCACACATTTTTAAGTGTGCGCTTGTGTTTTTTTGCAAATTGGAAATTGAAAATGAAATACTATTTTTCCGGATTTAAATCGCCTGTAAAGATGGACCTGTAAAGGGCCCGAAACGTCGGTTTGTTTGAAAAAAGAAATATACGCGATTTAAATCCGGAAAAATAGTTTCATTTCCTATGTGTAACAATTGCGAAAACCTAAGAACTCGAATTGAAAATGAAATTATAGAATCAATAAAAATCGTTTTGGGTCTCATAATGATACCTATAACGATATATATATATATATATGATGAGAGTCATGGCTTCACATTAAAAGAAAATCTTTTATTTCAATTTTAATGTCTTTGAACAGCTCAATATTTCCTAAGATTGAAAGACGTAATTGATATTGTTTGCCAGAGTTGGATAGAAATTGTCAATTTGTTCCACAAGTGGAGCGTGGACGATGGAACTATAGGTTATGGACGTAAGTTTCTACTTGCTTTTGTTGGATATATATATATATGTAACTACAATACTGTAACCTCATTTTTTGGGTACCGAAAATTAAGTTGTTCAGTTGTTACACGAAATATATTGGTTATTTATTACAAGTCCGAAATTATATTTGCTCGATATAACGTTCGCTCGATTTTTTTAAATCGCAGAAGTAATTATTATCCGCGGAAATTTTTTTTTATGAATATTATAAAATAAACCTAACCTAATCTCTTTTTGCGATGAACATGCAAAATGTTTTGGAATAGTTACGCTTTCGTTATAAATCGGTTTTCGGTATAATGAAATTACGGGCTCACGTTATTTCCGCCAAATGTAATTTCGGATTTCGAATGGGTTACCAAAATATTAAACGATTAACATTATCTATAAAGGGGTGACCGCGGATCTTCAAAATGATTATGGTTCTCGTGGTTCTCAAAGTCACTGATATAAACTAAATGCCAAATTACAGCACTGGCGAAATGGTTGTTATGATTGACTGACCAATTAATTTATCCTATACGATAGATTTATCGTAAATTCGTAACAGTATACCGAATGATAATAAGTTTTTATTTTCACATATTAAGTAACTAGTGGAATAAAAGATATACTTCATTAATTGCTTAATGCAATAGAATATTGTACTCTATAAAAAAGTCGTTATTTTATGAAGTCCGGCTACATCTTAAAAACCTGTGATCAATTCGTGTGAGTAAAATGGCATTTTTTATCTTCAATACTCATAGACATATTTCACATTAACAAAAATAAACTACATGGTAAAGAATTTAGGTGCACTATTTATTATTTCCAATTTAATATGAAATGTATTTTGTATTCATTGGTCGATTTTTTTCAAAATTAAATATGCAGATAATTTGAGACTAAAGATAATAGAGACCAATTCGGGTGTTTTTGGTGATTTTGATAGTTACATCATTTTGTCGCTTATGACAATTTCGAAATATGCATTAGACTTGTAATGTCAACCGTGTATGTAATCGGATTTTAGAGATGGCCCATGTGAATATTATAAATATTATCAGTTACCCTTACCCAATTAAATTATATGCGTTTGACCGAAAACATTTTGTACGGACAATCAAAATAAATGTTCGCATATATCTTTTTTGCTAAAGTTCATTCGTCGTAAGTGCCATTGCCAGCGGAAAAATGATCGATTTTTTTATTATGCCGTGTATCGCTCATTTCACGTCAAACGGAACGAATACTTGCATATTTTCTTTAAAAAATTCGCGAAACATGACTTCCGTTAATTTGTCTGGAAAATATAAAAAAATAAATCATTAATTACGTTTTTTAACGTCCAGTGTGACTTGAAATGAGCTATATGCATACATTAATAAAACTTAATGAGAACTATTAATAACAAAGACCGAACACAAAGAAAAATTCCTTAGATCTGACTGAACTCGAACCTGCGTCTGCTCTACCAACTGAGTTACAGATAGATTTAGCAGACCTCATGATTTTTTCTATGAGTTAGTTGTTTTTCGGTATAAACAGTTTTTTTTTGCCGTGGCGCCATCTGTGACAAATCTATGAAAGTCCTGTCAGATCGAAGGAATTTTTCATTGTGTTCGATCTTTTTATTAATACAAAGATCGAACACAATGAAAACTGCCTTTATTTTTAGTTGATTATGTTTACTCCAACAGTTTGTCATAATTATTAATATTTATAACAAATCCATGGAGTAAATATAATTAGTTAAATCTAGTAGAGTAATTTCATAAAAAATAAAATCAATATTAATGAGAACTTCTAATTTGTAAATACTAGTGCATCCAGATGAGTTTTGACACTTGAATGGTTACTTTTAGAACAAAATTAAAATGATTTTGGACTAAAAGATAAAAGTAAATTTATGTAGTAGACATGATTAATTGTAGCACAAAAGAATGAGATAAAAAAATCATAAGCTCTCAAAGCATTTTGTAATTTAATATCATTTTCACATAGTCGGTTTCATACAGGGTTCTGTGTACGTATTCCATTGGTAACTACAATTCTATATCGTATTCGACATTCACTTTATTCATAAATTGTAAATAAATTATTCAATAAATAACTTACAATTAGTCTATTAAACTAATTAATATAAATAATGAAAGAATATTTACAAAAGCGCGAGCTCTTACTAACAATAGAAAAAATCACAAGGAACATTATAAATTTAATAAATCAAACCCTGAAATATTCAAACTAGTCATCACCTAGTTACGAAGATAAAGTCTTTGCTACAGAAATCGGTGGTCATACATCGTCTGAAGGTTTTAAAATCAGACTAGGATGTTGAGCAAATGAAAACCCCTTTTTAACTTAGTTTTGGATGGCAACTGTGAGTACGTCGACTTTATTTGTTCAATTTAATATCCTCCTTTCTGTAGCGTCATGACTGCTGCAAACAGTGCAAAGAAGAACCCAGCGAGGCCTGTAGCACCGACCAGCAGAACTAGACCTCCAATTAGCAAAGGTACTAGGGCAAAATACTTGAGTTTGTAGGCCATTAGTAGTGGCAGCATGTATTTAGAGAGCTTCTTGGCACCCTTCTTGATTCCTTTCCTCTTCAATTTGTTTTTTGATCCTTTGTGGCCTTTCTCATCGTAATCATCGTCTTCTTCTTCAAGTTCAGTCTGGTCTTCTTCATCATCCTCATCATCAACGCCTAAGTAATCTGAAAACGAATAAAGATTTTTATCTTACAAAAATATGGCAATTCAGAAAATTAACTTGACTAATGATTAACTTTGAGTGTAGGGGTGAAAATATAATATAAGTCACACAAAATACATCGTCGGACATTACGAATTCATTGGTTGGTATAATCAGGTGTCAATTATAGTTTTAAGAATGCTTTACTCATAAAGAAGCGACTTGACTTCATAGAAATTTCACCATGGCTACTTTTATCTATAACGACTCGCAACTCTCAATAATTAAAAAGTGTTAAGTTAACAATTTACAGCAATGACTATAGCGTGATCTCTTCACGCATATTGTTTGTGCTAATTGGTCGAATTATCTTAGTGAGGTATTATCTCAATCTGTTGGTAATCACGTGAACGCAACCGTTTTTCTGAAAGTTGAAATTTTCTAATTGAGAACTGTCAAGTTTCAATTTCTTAATTATGTTAAAAGCACCAATGATGTAAGTGATGAATTTCAGATGACAAGTTTTCATAAAAATGAGATTGCTTAAAATTCAATGAAGAATTACTCTCAGTTCGAAATGAAAAACTAAATGGGTGAAAAAAACAATCAAACGACGAAGAAATTAACAAATTCGGATGGCATAATGAGATGAAATGTGATGTAATGTTTACTATAAAAGTACCTATTCGGAAAGCATAAATGTAAGATTCATGCAATCAGGAAATAAACAATGAAGGTACATTTCAGTGCCAATGTCAAAATAAATTAACATAAAGCCGGGAATGTTCACGATGTGTACACGAATGATTATTAATTAGCGACAATAGAAATGTGAAATAAGTATGTAGCGTGTTAAAATTAAGGAAGCGACGTAAACGCATTGACTATTACGCGTCAATTAGCAGTTAGCAATTAAAATATACCGTTTGTTAATGCCTGAGTTATAATGCAGTCCAATGCTCTGTTGCATGACCGCTGGTGTTATATCAGTATTTATTCAGGTATGAATTTACGACTAGGGTCTTGTCAAGTAACTTAATGGATCCACTTTTGTTAACGTTGATAGTGTAAGAAGAATTACAATTTCATTACTGAACATCTGAATATTTCAAACAATCATGAAATCAATGCTAAAAATCTAGTAATATCTATTTCCATTATCTTCATGATTTTGTAATTTCAAGCACAAATTTAGGTCAGATGCCCCTTTTTTGTGTGTTACTTGATAAAGCGTTTAGTTGATAAAAGACAGATTGTGATGGTTTCTATAAAAATGTGAGTCTCCCACCCACTGAATACGGCCTTCGTTATATCAGTGGTTGACAGTAAGTCATCCGCGCGATACTATTATAATAGTAATTTTCACTTTATAGAGCACAAGCGGAAAAGATTACCCACATTGAAATTTAGGGGTCTGACGACAGATGGGCGGTAACCGTAATGATACGATGGAAAATCTATCATCATTATAACGTTTTCAAAAATTTTGAGAACAACTTTCCTTTTAAGAATTCATGCTCCGGTAGTCCCGCTTGTAATGTATCCATTGGTTGACACTAATTTGCTTTCGCTAGCGATCGAGTACCAGAGGATAATGAGCAATGATTATTGTAAAATTGTGACGTTAAGATTTTCATTAGGTGCATTACATATCTCGTGGCGATATTGTTTTGATTTATTGAAAAACAAAGATTTCTCTTTCACTTTTGTTGCGATCCTTATAAATATTAACAGTAGTTTAAGTTTTATCGTTATATTATTATTTTTTAAATATATCAAGATTTATTTCAAATGTCCTTGTACAGTACGTGAATGTCAATAAAAATACAAACATTCTAAAAATACGTACATATCAATTTATGTTTGTCTCACTGCTGGTCACGGGTTTTCCGTAAAGTAAAGGTAGAATATATACTGTTCAACATACCAGAAATTGATCTCCTTGACGCTACGGCCTCTGTGAATCCGTCAGGTTTCTCAATTATTGGCTCATCTTCCACATTCAGAGACCTCTTTTGGAAGTCCTGCCCTCTCATCAGCGGTATTAACTTGGGGTGGAACGGGCCTCCTTGCAGAGGATTGAACTCCTCTGTCGCATTCTCACTTTTCTCTTTGGCAATTGGGAAATAATTACCAGGGAAAAGTACTTCAGATTTGTACTTGTTTACATTGTCCTCTGAATAATAAACATTCTTTTCTACTTGCGGTTGTTCGTTCCTAGTCAAAGGTATCGCTCTGGGTCTGAAGGAGTATTTCTTGTAAGTGTAAGGCAGTTTTGATTCCCTGGATGTCCTGGCAGGGGCTTGGTCGCTGCTATATGAGGTAGGTTGGATAAGGATAGAAGCACTGGTTACATTTACTACAGCTGATCCGTCACTCGCCGCAGCACCTGATAAGGACCATAGCTTCGTTAATTTGTTTTCGTATTCATCGTCAGCTCGCGAGAGTCCAATCAAACAAATCACCAGCACCACCTGACGCCTAAACCTCATTTGGCTCATCATTATGTTAGTTTATGAATAAACTGTTTATATCACTTATTGCACAACTGTCATTCACTTTCTGTTCAGTACACCCCGCCCGTTCGAACCACCATTTTGTAGCAAGCGATCGCGCAAAACTGAATCACTATCGTTGGAAGACGTTATATTTATACATGTGTAAGTATAAACTTGCGTTTTTCCCGACGATTCACGCTCGGATGGAATCGCGGAACCTTCCTCGGGCAGGTTACGATTCCGATATGGGCAAACAATAAAAGTTACCAAAATAAAAACTGTTCGTGTCGCTGTAACGCATCTACGCGTGGCTTCTTCCGTTAATGGTTCTTTGGCAGCAATTTTCTCTGAAAGACGAAGTAATTTGACATATTATCATTTCGACATTGGTTTCGGTCAATTATCATGTCTGTGCGTTATGGGGTTGAATGCGATAATTTTGGTTTGTGAGAGACAGATGAATTGAGATTGAGAGGATGTTTTGGGGAAATACGGAATATCATCAAGTCGTAACCTGTGTATTCTTATTTTGATAAAAAAAAATCTCTTTTGGTACAGTTTATATACGCGTATATCGTAGAAAACATGTGCAGTCTTTATTTCACTGTATGACATCTATTTTTGTTTTAGAACATTCTTGAACATATTAAAATTGAGCGATGCCGAATAATTATAAATTTAATTAATTTATAGCTTTCAGCAATGTGATTTTCAGATATACGTCGGACCTCTCGTTATCTTCGGGTAGCTGCCGTAGTAAGCGGTAAGAGTAGAATAAAAATACAAACCTGAAAATGTTTAATTTATAATAATGATACACCTAGACACGTGGAAAAAAGTTAAAAAGGCACCACTAGGAATATGACGAATTGAACAATGCTATTTCTAAAGTAGTAGATTATTTCGCAATAACCTGCTTTTTAAGAGGAAAAAATAAACTGTGTGATATTTATATCACCTGATGTTAGACAATCACAAATATTTAAGTTAAAAATGAAAACATAATCTTTTCAGTTGCATTTTAAGGTTTAATTTTGGATTTTAAATTGCAATAGACTCCACAAATAACTTTTTGTAGTACTTCTTCTCTTTAGATGTAGGAGCCGCTAGATTGCTTTACTTACGTACTTTCACAATTTGATGACAAATGGCATTTTGTTTTGGGGTAATGTCGGCGACATTAATATAATTTTTGTTCTGCAAAAGCATGCATTTTGAGAACTGAACCTCAGAAAAATCTGAGAGAGATAAGTAACTGCCATAATTCCACCGCCGTTACAGTACATTTATAAAAATGTAATTTATGCTACGAAGGTTGGTAATATTTTAGAATTAGACAAGACATTCATATGAGGAGTAAAAATAAACTGGCAATTCTTGACGTCGTTTTCTCAAAGTTACAAATTGGTTTAAGAGGCAATATATACACTTCTTAGTAGGATTCCTTTGGATATTAATTGTTCTATTTACGAAGTACTTTTCTACCCACTATCGCGAAACAACTTTCAGTTCAACAACGTGAACTTTCTGCAAAAGGTTATCTGTATACTTAGACGACAAAAATCCATGTTTGTGATCAGTTTTTCTTTTCATGTTATTTCTATGATATTTGAAATTTCAAATATATTTAGCACGATTTGTACTGTAATTTAACTAAATAAATAAATAAATAATAAAAAATAACGCACACACTCAACATAGCCCCGCATTAGGGAAACCCTGTGTCGCGGGTGCCATGGACACACACATAGACAACCACAAATTACACCCAAACTCACGGAAGAAATTAATGTAGGCTATACAAATATTTCTCCCGGTCCGACAATCGAATCTAACGTTAAAAGTTAACAGTTACAGAGGTAGTAACTGCCTCCGTGGCTGAACGGTTACCATGCCGGACTGGCACGCAGAGGTCCCAGGTTCGATTCCCGGGCCGGGAGAAATGTTTGTATGGCTTACATTTATTTCTCTCGTGAGTTTGGGTGTAATTTGTCTATGTGTGTGTCCATGGCACCCGCGACACAGGGTTTCCCTAGTGCGGGGCTATGTTGAGTGTGTGCGTTATTATTTTTATTATTAATTATGATTACCTATGAACTAATGATTATATAATTCATTGTTATATTTTTTCTTATTCTTGTTTGTACATAGTATGACTTTTGTGTGCGATTCCTGCTTTTAAGAGATTGAGAATTTACCTTTTCTTATATAAAAATAAGTGCGCATTTGACCTCCATCTCACCTGATGGAAAGTGATAATAAGGTCGACGATGGAGCATGCACATCAAAATAATGCCTATTCACTCTCACCTTGAAAAGGTCCAAGTTATAGCGTTTGGGGAACAAATCCGCAGGCAGGGAATTCCACTCCCTAGCCACTCGCCATATAAATGTGGAAGCGAAACACTGAGGTGGAATGACAGCTCACATCTAGTCTCCTGATGATAGAATAGGGAAGGCAAATCATGCAATTCCATCGCACACTCGCCGTAATATATCCAAGCAGCACTACATACAGTGCAGACAGCAGTTACTCCTTACACTACCGGACTTGTACTTGGTGTAGCTAAAGCAACTGTGCCGGTGTGAACTAACACCTCACCTTGGAAATTATGCCAAGCTTCCTGGCTGCATTTTCGGCCATGGATTCAATGTACTTATCTGCCGAAGTTCAGATTGGGCGACAGGTCCATTTCAAGTAGCTGGAGATGGTCGACTATCGGTATGGATGTGAATCTCCACAGCAACATACATATATTTAAGCCTATGGCATTTTATTTTCCTTTTGCCTAAGTAGCGTTACCTACCTCACTTGGCGTTAAAGAATTTTCTAGATTAGATCATTCGATGAAAAAATGAGTATTGCAATTATTTTGTTACACAAATTACATAGTGTTAAGGCTTTTTTTAAACCGTTTTACGAATAAACATCATTTTCAATTCAGCTTGGCAGCAAATTAACGTATCGCTTAAATTCCTTATTATTGCTTAATGCGAACACAACAAATGAAGTGGCGCCGCATAGCAATAAACATTCAAGTAATAAAAAATAAATACGGCTAGCAAATAAGTTTATTACTTACGGTTTATTTAGTTTGATTTATTGAGACTTTCTTTTTTTATTAGCTTTTTGCTTTTGCATAAAGTATAAAATCTCTATCACTATAATCGTTGGTTGTAGTTTGTTAAATAAATAAATAAATAGGACTTTATTCATCAAACACATATAATTATTATGCAAAAAAAATGTTCATTTCCTAAATTGGCCCAAGTCGGGAATCGCTGTGCCACCGAAGCACTACAAGGCCATTTTCTATGATATTTTTTCACTAGATAGCAGATCAAAATGTTGACATATTTCAGTTGTTACATTTGACATTTTTTCTATTTATTGAACATACCATTTGTTACTGCCTGCAGGTAGAACTACGGGTTAAGGTGCATCCTACAGCATAAGCACACCCCGTAAGCTAAACCCAACAACGCGCCGCAGGCCAAACCCCCCACCACACCGTAGGAGAGTAAAGGACTCGTAATATATGTAAATCTGATTTCAAATACTAAATTGTTGAAAAGGACGAAGTCACAGCATAGTGCTGTTTTTCATTCTCCGCTTGTGTTTTCTGTCGGACTTTGCGGAACACAATTACTATAATTCTGTACAAAAGTTATACATCAACAACAATCATTACGAGTGATAATATTTGTGGTACTACCGGTGGATAACAACACCACAAATATTAATCCTTTAAGAAGAACGTTGCAAAAACAGTCCGAATCTATCACGTCCTCATATTGGACTTTTTTTTACGACAGCTGACTGTTTAAAACAATAGAAAACCGAAGGGGAAAGATTTTAAGGCATCCGATAAATCAAGACAGTTTTCTTAGAAACTTTATAGAAGAGAAGATCGAATGAAAGAGAGCAGTGGAAGACCGAGACGAAGTTATTTAGATCAGATAAGGGAAAATTTAATACAGTGTTATATCAGAAAATCAAAGGTAGAGCGCTGAACAGAGATGGATGCCTATCACTGTATCGACAAGAGCTTAGATCTTAAATAAGAAGAAAAAGGATGACAGGTCATGAGATGATAATAGGAGGATCTTGACAATTTTCACAGCATAAGGAGAAGTCAAATCATCTTTATTTCATAGGTAAGCAAATTACATTGAAATCGACGTATTGATTAAACTCTACAGCTCATCCGTAAGGCAGATTCCGCTGAGAAGAATGAGCAACAAACTCACTGACTTACAAATAAATGGACGACGGGTCTAATACAAAAACCACCAAAAAAATGTCCCAAGTCAACCTATTCGAAATTTAAATTGTAATGTCATCGCAGTATCGCGCTGTCAGTAGAACAAATGAAGACTAAAGCGGAGTTTGGCGCTCTGTATACGATTTTAGCGCCTGACAAGTGCGGACACTTTTTAGCGCGGACCCGACGTCCATATAATTGTAAGTCAATGAACAAACTCTAGGGTTTGCTCTTTGTAAATATACATTTGAATACATTCATCATTAACAACATTTACTTTTTAAATCTTAGATCGAGAATACTACCACGGAATGTTGTCGTCCAAGTACGCAGAAGTTGTATAATGACCTTTAGAACAAAGTTTTTGTTTCACTATAGTTTTAACCTCGTAAATGCCAAATTTTGAATATCAGCCGGATTCTTATAATAGAAGCGTATACATTGCCCCAAATGAATTTGTGACTTTGTGAAGACGACTGCCAAGAACAGTAGTGTAGAGCTCCTTATGAAAGAGTTCATTCAGGGTAGCAGTGCCACTATACCTGTTTCTGCCACCAAGTAGTAATGTGAGCATTACTGTGTTCCGGTTTGGAAGAATAAGGGTGCTGGAGAAATTACAGGCACATTGGACTTGTCAACTTATGTTTCAGAGTGACGGGCGCAGTGGCGGTGCCCCTAAGATCATTGCGATTTAAAGCTTTCAGTGGCACTGCAACTATTATGGATATGCGTGTCGCTCAGGCGCACGACTTGTTCGTCTTATCAATAGGTATAATAAAAAAAGCTACTTTATTTTTATTCCTCGT